AATTGTTAATTTTAGGGTAACATAATTTAAGATAGAATATAATTATTGTATTGTAAACCCTGTGTGTAGCTCTGGGAAGTCGGGGGGAAGGGAGGGGGGTGGGGAAGGGTGGGTTGAGGGAGGGGGGGAGATATATTGTAAAACTTTTAAAAATTTTCAATAAAAAAAAAAAAAAAAAAAATTTTACAAAATACATTTACAGTCTAAATTTAAAAGTGAATTTGAATTTCAGCCAATTTTGAAAATGGTGCTTACATCCAAACCACAACCTGGGTCAATACACCCGTTTAACTTCAACTTTCTGTGCTGACTTCCAGGAATTTTACTTTACATTTTCTACCACCACTAAATATTTACTTCACATTTTTGTATCAATAACTCTTCTAAGATTCTGCATCGATTACACCTTCTGGGAATGAGCACTTTTTTATGTTCAAAGAAAAATACTTGCTTTTTCACCAAATCTAAAAGCACGCAGATTTAAAAGTGAGGATTTCCATAGTTAATAAGTCTGTGAAGGGCAGCTTTGATTTGCCTGAACAAGTTGCTTCATGTTGCATTTACCTTATCAAGGCAAACAATCTGATTGCCATTAATAGAATGCTTTGCATCACTTTCCATACCCCAGCAATTGCAAAAGTTGTAAGAAATTCCTGTACATGCACAGAAACTTCTTCTAGGTCTTGTAAGTATCAGAGGACCGATAGAAGTGGTATTGGACTGAGCTACACTGTGGTTTAAAGCAAGGGAATCATGTTGCTTTATGAAATCCTTTCAAGAAGTTTCTTTACTTACAATTTTATCAAAGCCCAAAGCTCTTAAATATTGATACAACAATTCTCTAAGGGATTAAATACACATAGAGGTAGTCCTCACTTAATAATAGCCACCCAAAGTCACCTCAACAGTCAGATGGGTGGCATTTAAATTTAATAAACGAAATGAATAATCACAATTGACTCTGATATTTTGGTCTTAAGTTGTTGTGATCGTTAATGGCTCTATTTTACGACTAATTTTACAGTGGTCATAAACTGAGTCTCCATGTTTGTTAAATGACTCAGATGATCATTAAGTGAACCACATGATCATTAAATGGATCCATTCTCCCTAATGGGGTTATTTTGGCTGAAAACCAGCAAAAAACCATCCCAAATAGCTGTCATATGACTGCAAGATGCTGCAACTGGTCATAAATACGAGCTGGCTGCCAATCATACGACCACAGGGGTGGGTCTGTGTAGCACACATAACCTTCAGGATGGTGTTAAGTGATTTTGGGGGGAGTCCGTCATAACTTTGAATGGTAATTAAGCAAAGATTACGTGTACTATGCCACGCTGAGCGATCATTTTCTCTAACCTGATCAGGGAAGGTTGTCTCCTTTAATTCCAGATCCTCTTCAGCATAAGTCAAAATGGTTTTCAAAGAGCGTCTCAGAAACTCCTCATTAAAATTTTGAGATGTTCCCACTAGAGATGAGAGTGACATAGTCACCTGCATTTTCACTCTAGCAAAGTTCTGAAACAGACAAATTACCACGACGTCATTCATCTGTTACTAAGAATAGTTTCTCAAGGAGAAAAGCTTCATCAATTTCATAATCCCAAAACAGAAAATAATCTTAGAGACATCCAAACCATAGCCCCCCACAACACTCTTTCTCCTACAACCTAATATCCCCTAAGACTGAACTATTAAATTTGGGTGACAGAACAACAAATGAAAGTAACACATTTTTTCCTAAAGCTAATCAGTAGAAAATTAAGATAGATGCGCTAAGCCAAATGACCAAAGTAGAACTAAAACAAGTTAGCTGGTGAAAAAGAAATTTAATTGTCCATCCCCTCCTAGCCCTATGTGACTTTCTTCACTACCAAAATGTTACTTGTTCTTGCTTTAAGAAAGAGTTAAGAATAATATTTATGTATTGATTTAGTTGTATGATTTTGAAGCCATCCTATTTCCGATGTTTATATTCTTAAAAGAATGAAAAAAATAAGATAGAGAAACTGATTATGTACATCAAGAAGACTAAAAAACTGTACATCTCAGGTACAAAAATCTCAAAAGACCAACATGGCTTCACAACCTCCCTCCCATGGCTGGGGAGAATAGCTGGGATTTGTAATATCGTCAGGATGGGAGCTATATAGATCTATAGATAGGTGGATGCTATTCCAGACAGGAGGCACTATACAAAGACGTCTGGAATATCATCCGGATGGGATCTATACAGATGTATAGATAGGTGGTTGTTACTCCAGAGAGGAGGCACTATAACAGAGAAGGCCAAGATTTTATTTGATATTCTTCAAGTTTAATGCAAGTCTTTTGGTCAGTGCAAGGCTACTGAAATTCTCATTTTAGAGATGTCCCTCCCTCCATAATTCCAGACACCCCACCATTTAGATCAGGGGTCCCTCAACCCCGGCCCACTACCAGACTGTGGCCTATTGGGAACCAGGCCACGTGAGCGGCGGGCTGGCGCGCACACACAGCTTGACTTGCATGAGCAGCGGGCCAGTGTGCACTTGCATGCACCAGCATCTCAATTTGTGCAGCCCAGTTCCCCTCTCCCCCCTCCCTCAAGCCGGGCCGCCAAGCCGCAAAGGTTGAGGACGGCTGATTTAGACAATCCGTGCGCTTTCAGAAATAGAGTACTTACATTCCCAATCTCAAAGTTTTGCCTCATGAGGAGGTACAGAGAGGCACTGGCATGGGATCGTATCGTGCTAATGCTACTGCTGCAGTGGCGCAGGAGCCGGAGGCATAGATCAGCACATTGCTCAGTCTCTTCTTCAAACAGCAGTTCTGGGAACTAAAATGGCAGGATTAGAGGCACATCATTCAGTGAAAGCTAGAAACAATGAGAGTTCCAAGTATCAATATGATTCTACTTTACTTGCATTATGCTGCTAACTATCTGCTCTCATCCCTTCTGGGATCACCTGCTCACCAGCTCAAGGAAAGCAAGCCTTCGGTTGCGTTTTGCTAGCAGCAACCGTGGAAGTAAAGCTGTCCTGGGTGCAAACTAAGCTCATTCAAGAGTGGCATGGAATGGTAACTTACTTTGAGCTATTGCATTTAGATGAGTCAGTCTCCGTCCGGACATTAAATAAATCCTCCTCACTTGGTAATCCATTTTCAAAACACTCACCTTTGAGACTAAAGCTCTTTGAGTAGCAAAGCAGTGCTGGAGATAAAGAGCGCTTTGATTGCAGGCCATGCTATGCAGAAGAGCCTTCAGCACCCCACCAAGAATACTTTCCTTGGATTCAGTCACCGAAACCGTCTGTAGCCAAAGACAACAGGGCAACAGA